ATTTCATTGCCTATTATTTCCTGCTGGTGGGTGAACTTGTCTGTTTTGGATATTAGTTTCCCATCTACCAGGTTTACTGTGCACTGCAAAATTTGAGAGGGAAAACAAAGGTATCGAGTAAAAACAGCCAGGTATGACCAAAGCAAATGTCCGTAATTGTATCACAACGAGAGAAAGGAATGCATACTATGAACTCACCCAGCATGCCAAGTGAAATGTTATTGGCGTAGTCTTGACAATGGTTGCTAACCTCCAGGTGGGGCCTGGAGACCTCCTGGCATGACAACTGACCTCCAGACTATAGAGATTACTCTGCCCAGAGAAAATGCCTGCTTTGGAGGGTAGACTGTATGGCAGTATTCCTTACTGAGATCTAGGGTTGCCAGGTCACATGTGCAACTGCAGGGGCTTCTCTTGGGGGGGGGGGTCATGGTCACAACAGCACCAATAAAATGCCTATTCCACTCCCTGTGTGCCCATAACTGATCTCAGTGTGTCATTGGTAATGCTCTGGTATTTCTTAAAAATGCTACAGTTATACCATAGAGTCTTCAGGAGTGTCCCTTGTCACTTCCCGTTTAAACCAGAAGTGGCACCGGCATGCTGCCACGTCACCAGTGTATCAGGCCTTTTCCCCCTTCCCAGTTTCATCAAGATCAATTGCCAGGAGATTCTCCACCCTCAGCAGGCACCTGGCAGGGCTACTGTTATTCTGTCCCCTCCCCAAAACCCCACTGTCCCTGGGCTCCACTCACAAATCTCTAGGAATTTCCCAAACTGGAGTTGGCAACCCTTGACCCACTAACTGAATATACTGCACTGTGCACAGTGGCTGTGTAGCCTGTTGGAAGGAGCACAAAAAACAAACAACAACAACAACAACAAAACAGAGATGCCAACTCCAGATTGTAGTCTGAAGATTTTCGGGGCAGAGAGCAGCAATGGTACCCTGTACCTGGTTCCCAAATAACCTTTCCCGCCCCCCGCCCCGGCCTTGGCAACCCTGAAAAGAATTCTGATGCAGAGAGAATCCTACCACAAAGCTGGATGAGACAGTTAACTTTTCTGGCAGATTGGGGTGCCATTCAGGGTGGCAGAGTGAAAACAGGGGAAATTTGACATATGTGCTACAATTTACCAGGAAGTAGAGGAGAAATGAGCCAGAGCTGCACAGACATGTGGCAGTGGATTGTGCACCATGTCCAGATCATGAGTGTTAGGGCATGCCATTTGGATTTTCTGCACCATGCTCCAAAATATCATGGTGTGACTTTAATCTGAGGCTGCATCTGCATCAACTTTTAAAAATTAATTACTTCACCAAGGAACCCTGGGAAATTAGTTCTGATGTGGCATCTCCGGACTGCCAACAGAAAATGTCTGGCATTCTTTCAGCGCTATAGAGTGTGATCCTGCCAGTTTTTATGCTTGTAAATGAGACAGGAGCTTCCCCTTCTGGCCACTGACAAGGACTGCTGGACCTGTGTAGCCAAAAGCCATATGGAAGAGGGTCTGCACTAAGGAAGAGATTGGAAAAGATCAAGCAGAAAAGCTAGTAGGATCCACCCCATCATTTCCAGGAGCCTTTGTATGGAAACCAGGTAGAAACACACATATATGTAGAAACACATGCATATAGCTGAACACTGAACTAAGGTCTTGTGACCGCCAGTAATCTTCAAAGTAATTAGTTACCTTTACTTTTTTGTTATCCATGGTGGACATTTCTGTTTCTTTCCCCAATGTAAATCTATTGGTCACAGATTTGTTTGGGGTTTTGGATGTGACAATGAAGTTGTTCCCAGTTTGCTGGATTTCAATGGTCGGCTTAATATCTTTGGCAGTTTTGATGATGTCTTCTGACAAGGCTGAAAAGGAAAAAAAGAGGGGGTCGAAGTACTATTTTGTTAGACAACAATATCCTCAGTGCCGTGGGCTGTGGGGACACAAAGCAGTGTACATTTCCTCCTTTCCTCCTTTTTCTCACAACAGACTGTGTGACCATTCAGCAAGGGCAGTTAAGGGTTTCATTTTCTTCAACTGTCCCTGTTTACCAAGGACAGTCACTGTTTTCTGGTCCTTGCTTCTGATAATTTGTTGTTTCTGAATTTGCTCCTTTTTTGCCTTTGGGGGATGCCTTGTTAAAATCTGAGTTGCTAGAAATTATCATTCTTTAGGGTTAAACTCCCTCTCTGAGTTTAGTTTCTAACAGTGTGATCCTATGTAGAATTAACTCCAGTCTAAGGTCTGTTGTGACCAAAGCAACTAGATGCTTACCAATAGCTTTCAGGAACTCTTCATAATTTTCTTGGACATACACCTGCCATGTGCCGTTGAATGCCATTTTGGAAATGCAGATTGATGGAACTGGTTGCTCTGGCAAGTACTGGGCAGTGGTGTCTCCAGAGGGCATGAACAGATTCTATTTATACCCTGCCTAGGGTCAAGCTACAAATGATTAAGCCATGAACTATCAATAATTAATTCTAAATTTGTTCACCGTGGAAATAACCTTCCGTTCACTGTGTTGTGGGAAAGGCCAGACTCTTGTCTTTCTCTAGTCCTCACATCACTAATGCCAGGATTAATCATAATGAAGGCAGAAAGTCTCAAAGTATTTATTACTGCTTTTGCACCAGCATGTTTTTGTGCAGCTCAGTTGCCCCTGTTTCTGAATAAATAAATGCATTTGTTGTTGATTATACATTGTACCACCTGGCACAAGGATAAGATCAGTAACCGGCCCATTCATGTGCATTCTGTGTGGTGGCTCCCACCTTGCGGAACAACCTGCCCGAGGATGACTTCCCCACTTTTATCATTCTGCAGAATGTGCAAAACAAAAATGTCCAGGAGGGCATTTTTATCAAGAGTCTAGAGCTGTAGTAACAGCTCAGGAAGTTGCTCTTATAACAGACAGGACTGTAGTCTATTCTAATGTTTAATATATATAAAACTTTACTGCCTTGTCTTCTTACCTTTGTAACCCATGTTCTGCTGCATACTTTAGCAGCCCCCCCCCCTGCATTGATATGTAATCCTAGTCTGACTGCATTGTTTATCAGGTGTCTTTGTTAGCCTTCAGACAACCCCTTCTGCTCAAGGTATAGTTTGGCTTCTGAAAGGAGTAAGTCCAAGCACCCTTCATTTTAACAGCACCCCAAATTAACATGTTCTGGGCACTGCCTGGTCTGCAAAATGGTTCTGGTGTCACAAAATATGGATGCCAACAACCACAGGCCAGAGACATGTCTGGGCAGTGATTCTGGAAAGTGTAAAGTCATGGGTTTGTCCACTAATGACCCCTGTCCCCACCATTAAACCATGTATAATGACAATAATAGGTCTCCAGGAAAAGACATTGTTTCACCTTAAACTAATCATTTCCCCACCTGGCCTGACTTTCCCTGACCTATCTCCCTTATAAATAAAAGCCGAATGGTGGTGGCACTTCTCTAGAACATTCCACACGCTTCAAAATCAGTTCGCTCTCTGATCTGTCATTCAGAGGGTCTCCCTATCCACTGGCTGCTTTGCCTGAGTCCTGCCTCCAACATTCTAAACATTTTGCTGTTCCTCTCCCCCCCATAGCCAGTCAGAACACAGAGGTTATTTGCATATGCAGCCTCATTGGCCTTTGCCTCGCTGTTCTGAGGTAAAATGTATATGCGACTTGTTTTTCTTTTGCCTCTAACATTCTAAACAGTTTGCTGTTCTGAGGTAAAATGTGTCCAATCTCTAGGTGAGGGCTGGAGATCACTCAGAATTACAACTGCTTTCCAGATGGCAGAGATCAGTTCCCCTGCTGAGGTGGCCCCGTATGATAGCCCATATGATAGCCGTATGATAGCCAATGTGACGTAGCAGTCAAGGCTTCAGAGCACAGAGGAGGATGCAGGTGTGCGTGGGTGGAAAGCTGAAGAGTGAGGGGGAAATAAAGGTAGGTTGATGATTGGCTGGGAAGGAGATAGGGTTGCCAACTCCAGGTGGGAAATTCCTGGAGATGTGAGGGATGGAGCCTGGAGAGGGTGAGGTTTCAGGAGGCGTGGGACCTCGGACAGGTACAAAGCCATAGACTCCACCCTCCAAACCAACCATTCCCTTTTGTGGAACCATCGTTGCCAATCTCCAGATGAGGGCTGGAGATCACTCAAAATTACAACCTTTAGGTAGTAGAGATCAGTTCATCTGGAGAAAATGGTGGACTCAGTGTCATTATACCCTGCTGAGGTCACCACAGCAAATTGACACTGAGTGTCCAAGGCCGGGGCACCTGCCCAGAGCCTCTTTCTAGAGGCTGTTGTATTTATTTCCACAACGGGCCTTTTTCCTAGTTTACCATAAATATGAAACCACTTAACACTTTTCAGTCATCCCTGGCAGCTTCCCCCTTCCAACAACAGAGGGTCATCAAGCAACCAACAGCTACATTCATGCAAAATATCGTGCGTTTTCCTAGGTCTTTGTCTAGTCCTGAGAATGCTGTTCAGCCTTCCCTAACCCATTGTCTCCATCCCATCAGGTATTGTTTTAGGGGGCAGTGACATCACCATGCCCTCAGTTAGCAATTTGCCTTATAACTGCACACACTTCTGGCTCATGCAGTGTGTGTGTGTGTCATGGGCGCCTACTGACAACTAACCCCCAAACTCTTTTGGGTATCCTTCCATCTTCACTGTGTGAAGCACTGGTTTGTTTCACAGACTCTTCTCCACAGACCTCTCCTCTTCTGGTCTGGTAACTATAATTTCCCTGAAACCCCCCTCTACATTCCCGCTCCTTCCTGTATCTCTAGTAGCTTGTGTATATGTTTTATCGCGTGCATCTATCTTTGTATGTGTGCTCTATTTTATTATTTTCTCTTTCAATAAAGAGATAAATATTATTTTCTCCTGCTTAAGTCACTGCTTATTTATTTCTGAGAGTTTCTCCAAGGGGAAAATCCCTGTAAAAGGTGGTGGAGATCTTGCTGTTATCCCCTCTTGCAAAGCTCTGTCTCCTTTGCTGATTCTCCTAATTAAATAGGAGACAACCCCCAATTTGGGTAACATCTTTGTTGTCTAACTATATATACATATATATTCACTTTGAGTCTCAGTGGGAAAAGGGGGCTTTAAGTGAAGTAAAGAAAATTATAAATAAATGACCATAGCAACATATCATGCAATATTTTGCTACTACAAAATGCCCTAAAAATTTCAAGGCATCTTCAGAATAAAGCAAGCGCCAGCTAGCTATGATACAAAGAAAGAACACAGACATGTAAAAAGTCTGAAGGGTCAATATTTCTATTTTGCAGGTGGAAAAATGGACATTGAGAGCTTGCAACTTGTATAAGGGCTGGAAACTGAAACCGGATTTCTGTACCACTATGTAGTTTTCCCTAGGGTCTTGGCTATAAAATTTAGCAGTTACTAGGCTTGGAAAAAAGAAAAAGTCAAGGGCAGGGCTTTCCCCACAACACGATGAATGGATTGTTATCAGGGCTATTTTTGGGCAGGAACGCACAGGAACGGAGTTCCAGCTGGCTCCCGAGTTGGCCACGCCCAGCAGGAACTCATTCGCATAATAGGCCACACCCAACAGCAGAAACTCATTAGGATTGGCTACATTAGGGGTGTGTGGCCTAACGTGCAAAGGAGTTACTGCTCCAAAAAAAGCCCTGGGTTTTGACAACAAACAAGGTAAACAGAATAACAAGCAAAAGGTGGGTGCGGCTGGATGACCACACTTCTGGTAACATGGGGGTGTGGCCTAATGGGTTAACGGGCTGTGCTGTCGGGGTTGTGGCCTAATATGTGAATGAGTTTCTTATGTTGGGTGTGGCCTATTATGCTAATGAGTTCCTGCTGGGCTTTTTCTACAAAAAGAGCCCTGGTTATGCTTCCCACAAGTGTGATGGCCATTCATATAGCTGTGCTCTACTGGATGACGGTAAAATTAATTTTCTTACCTCAGGTAATACAGTTGTCCAAAATCACTGAATCTACAAACCAGCATAGGTGATCCATCATTGGAAACAGGTCTCTGTTTGCAGATCTCCTCTAAGGAGAGCAGAAACAACTGCTTGTAGGTGGTGGGAAGGAATGATGACTTGCATTTAGCACCTTAAGGTTCACTTCCATTGCTCCCATGATGCACTGCATCACAGCACAATCAAATCAATGCCTGGGGTAGTGGATGTCACATATTACAACCTTCCAAATACGTCTGAAAAAGTTACTAGCCCACTACATTTGACAAACCTCCTTCATCCCCTTTCACATTTGTTATCCTTTTTAAAAGCAATATAGTCCAAGAAAGTATGGGTATGGGGTATAGAATATGGAAGCGTTGCTATCTGGGTTACTTCAAGGTGCTTTCTATTAATCACAGCCTGAGTTATTAGAAGAGAGAACGCAGAAGGAATGCTTCCAAATGAGCAATGCGAGAACTCTAATCTTTGACCATTTGCTCAGTAGGAGGGGGAGGATTCTGGAACACAGCCAGGGGACTGCAACTTTTCTCTTAGGCTGTGGCTCATGGCTATAGCATAGTGATGAATCATTTTTCTAGGGTTGAGTACAGTGGTTACTTTGATAAAATCTATATACCTTGTTTGCCCTGATATTACTTCATTCAAGAACAGTCTGTGTCCTACCGGGTGTGACCTTTCTTGGTCAACATTTCTAGCCCTAGTAGCCCACTACAAGTTCAACAATCTTGCCTCACTCCCTCTCACATGTATTATCCTTTTTTTAACTACATAGCCTGTGGCAGAACGTGCCTGCTCTGGCCTGCAGGCCCCATTCTACCCTGCCCTGCCCTCCTAGGGGTTCCCAGCTCCCCGGAGGGGCTTTTCTTTGGCCCAATCTGCATCTAGCATTTGCTCTGCTGTCTTACCATACCCAATGTAGAGGGGAACAGAAATTCCCCTCCACATTGCATAGGGGGTAAGGAGCCCGCCCCGTGTGGAGAGGGGTCTCGATCTGGCGCGCCAGATCTGGGGAGAGGCCATCGAAAGGCAGGGCGCCTCCTCTGCCATGAAAGCACGGGGATGTGACTCCCATCGGTCGCCCGGCAGCACAGCGCCCCGGCTCGAACTGCGTGTGGCTCTTGCTCGCTCTCTCGTCTCGCCGGAGCGGAGCGCCATCCGAAGCGCAGTGTGGGTTTGGTAATGAGGGAGGTGAAATAGTTAAAATGAGCTGAAAGCAACCATAAATGTGTAAACAATGGCCGAATTATAAGTTTGCCTGAGAAATAAGGCAGAGTAGCAAAACCTAGAGATAAGATGGGAAGGGGGGAGGGTATAAAAGAATGTGGATTGCAAGGAATAGCCTTGACTTATATATACACTAACAATTA